GTTGTTAATTAGTATTTGACAACGTTTGAAACTCAATAAGATCATATAAGTGCCGAAGATTAGAGGTGTTACAAGAGAAGTAACAAACATTAAAAGGAGGAGGAGAGATCAGGACGATAGAGGTTTGATAGGAAAGTAGGAGAAACCATAGCCCCCGCCAACGACCCATCTCGATCGTTTACAATGACAAGTGATGTTTCAAAACTCAGGTGCACTAGGCTAACAAATATACACACAACAAGAAAGGGCCTAAAATTATGCCGAAAATTAGAGGGGTTACTAGAAAGTAAGATACACAGAGAGCAAAGCGGAGAGACGAGGTGAAGAACGTTTGACGGGAAAGAAGGAGCAAACCACACTAGATCTAAAACACCCACCAACTGCCCACCAACAACCGGTGACTCGAGTAACGAGGACACAAACGGCACAGCGATAATAATAATACAGTCATCGTCAACAAAATCATCACCAGTGAGAACAATAACCATAGCAGCAGCAGCAGCAGCAACAACAACGACAAACATGCGATGAAAAGCACAACAAGAATGCTACCACGTACACCGCTACAACCATTTAATAATAACAGAAAAATATACGAGCACAACAACCTCCATTCTCACCACCACCACCACCACCACCACCACAAACAACAACAGAAACAAAAAAAGAAGAAAAAAAATACTCCACCGCCACCACCACCAACAAACCATCCATCACCGTGCTAACACCACCACCACCACCACAAACAACAACAGAAACAAAAAAAGAAGAAAAAAAATACTCCACCGCCACCACCACCAACAAACCATTCATCACCGTGCTAACACCACCACCACCACCACTACTACCACCATCACCACCACCACCATCACCACCACTACTACCACCATCACCACCACCACCATCACCACCACTACGAAGTGACTGTTTGTACAGGTGACTGTCTCGCATAATGAGAGTAGTTAGAGCAGGTTTGATTGAATAATATACGATTGAATTGCAACGTACCTCTCCTTTAGATTTTTTGCGTCTGCTACTTGCTGTGACGTGACGGGCTCAGGGGCATCGATGAGAGCTTGAAGAATTCCCAGCTCGTAAGAGATGCCGAGTATCGAACCCACGAGACTGTGCCCGATAACAGCCTCGATATTCGCAGTGTATGCCGATTTCTCCGCCATAATATTGGATGGTTACTGGGTCGAGTTGAAATGATGGAGTTCAAACCTTCAGTTTGTCGAAGTGGTCTCCTGAGAGAAAAAAAATATAATAGAAACACGTCTTTACTTATTCCAGTGGAGATATGTAACATCGGTTTCATCTTGGTGAAATCACGCTCTTGTCAAAATGATTGAATAACAATTTTTTTTTTCT